ATATTGCATGTTTAGACAATGACTCAAAACCCTATTTCTAAAGCCAGTAGATTGTTCATACAAGATATTCAAAACCAAGCACTGTAATCTGGCCAAGTCACATTATTTAAAGCTCTCAAACATAAACATTTAATTTAAATTACACAGTCTCTACATTTGTATTTCGGGTATACTCCTCTTTGTCTTCTGCCCACCATATTTAATTCCATTATTTATGGCTTTAAAATAACACATTCAAGACCATATCATGGTGCTTTTTTTGCAATCATAGTACTTCTTAAGAATTGAAATGCTTGAAATATTACAACTAAGAAACAAAAAATCTGCAGTATACTAATAGAAACAACCTGATATACTTTACCCCCAATAGAAATGTTTATTTTCTACAAAATACTGCATTCAATAAAAAGAAAATGCCTATTACAGATTTTGAGATGGCTAAGCAAATGATAAGCTGAATAATTTCAGATGCTTGCTAATTTACACATATTCAAACAGCTAACTGCTGATCAAATAACAGTTATCAAAATGTCATTGCAAAATATGACATTTTATGTGCTGACGAAGTCAAATCTACAAATTAAATTGTGATTTAGTTTCCTGTAGTTTATCTTATGAAAACCAGTGGTTTTAAAGCAATACAGAAGGACCAATGTTCTCCATAAAAAAAATCAATAGATTGGATATGCTGATTATTGCCATTGACCCACATGTATATTTTTACAGTACATTCAACCATCTTGATTGTATGTATCACCTCATTTGAAATCAACATGTCAGGATTACATTCTAACTGCAGTATTTTTATTGTGTTTTCTGCTGACCTATACAAGTAGCAATGCACACTCAGCATTGAAATCCATGTTCAACTGTCCATTTCTTAGCAGATTTTATAGAAAACAAACATGCAAATTAAGAAATGTAAGTGTTCAGGATATTTTAAAACCATTAATCAATGTTTTATCTTTACACATTGAAATGTAAAGTCAATTCTTCTAATCAATAAAATTCGCTTCAAACATTCGAGGTAAATAATGATCGTGCACAATGCAGTTTCCACTTTTTAAAAGTAAAAGCAATTTTGGTATATTTCAAAATTTAGAATAGCCACATGGGAGGTTTAAACAGTATAGTCAAATTTAGTAGTCACAAGTTGCAACAAAGTGAAAAATAGTCTTTGTAAGCAATGTACGAAATGGTGGTAATCAATGGTACTTTTATTGGTCTCTATATTCTTTGTTTTTGGGCAAATGATTGGCTTTAGGTTGGATTAAATGGGTCATGATCCCTACTTATCTATATTATTTAACTAAGATAACCACAAGTTTCAAATCAAATGTGAATTAAATTCAAAGCATCAAATTCAGTTCAGATCTCTCTGCAGCCATACTGCATCACAAATGATTCAACAATTCATGTTGTGAATATGCTGTTATTAGCTTGATAATGTTTTTAAACATCGTCAATCAGGACAAAACTCTAAATAAACTTTTACTAGTTAATTCAAGTCAATTTTATATTTTGGCAGCACATATCCCACTTTTCTCATAAAAAATAAACACAAAAGAGCTGTTTACACAATCAGATTGCATAAATAACGGTGAACAATAAAATAGCATCCTTTATTTATTCCTATTATGCATTCCTAGGTTTTTAAAGGCTAAATGTTCAGTATTTGCACTGAATGTCATTCTGTAATTCACTGTAGAATTGTTGGAAAAATCTAATTTCTATTTTTAGAAACTTTTTTTATTGGCTTGTGCTGGATTAGTTGACGTCAACTATGATAATGCTAGAAGTACCCTATGTGACCTCTTGGTTAGAAGGTGGTGGTGAGAAAATTATCTAATTCTTTATCACTATCCAATAATTCCTGTTCTGTTTTTTTCTGGGAGGATAGGTGTGGAGTTGGTTAGGATGTCTTCCATTATCGGATAGTCTACAATAGTTATCTTGGTGAGATATTAGATGGGGCTTTGCATTACTGAATCCTTATGATACCAAGAGGTCAATACCTTCAGGAGCTGAGGAGAAGGGAGGGATAAGAAGAAAAATTGCAAAGTGGATTAGCAAGAGAAAAAGTAGATATCTGGAATGGATTTTTTCATTATTATAATTTAAACAAATCTTTTGTTTGTATTCTTAATATTAACATATATAGAAATAACATGTATGAGGTGCTGTTTTGTAACCAATCATACTTCTTGCTTTTATTTTACATTGTGGTTCCTGTTATTTTTGTACATTATGTCAGTATCATTTAAAAAGGATTAATAACTTTTAAATGTGGAATTGAAATGTTGGAAATTAATTTCTAAACATTTTAAAGTTAAAAGACATCATCAAGTTATAACTAAGCCACATATTTTTGTATTTGACTGTTCCTTGGAAGTTTAGTTCTGTAGGTCTCATTTATAGCTGAGCAGACCTTTTCAACAGATATCAAAACCTCAATAATTCTTTCTGCTATAGCACCAATCACTAAAACATTTTAAACTTTTATTGTGGGAAAAAATGTCAAATATCCCTACATGCTTTAAAAGACAGCTATGGCCAAAATTAAAAGTTTTCAAAAATATCTGAAAATTCTTGAACAAGAGCAGGACAAGTGTACAAAGCTGGCAGCTCAAAAAAAATCTAGTTCATCTGCACAATGTAATTCAGAATGAATATAAGCAAAAGAAAATTTACATGGATTACTTGAAACTAATTTGTATTTGAAACCACAGTAATGAGGCATGAACCAAAATGAAAATGATTTTCAATAGCCTTAGTTACACCTTAATAAATAAGGTATTTTTGGCTCTTACACTTTCCTTTCTAAACATAATGCACACAGATTATAAAACAATCTATATTTTAAAATATAGTTTTGTCTAACAGGTGACTTTGAATTCAACACGCTATTCCTCGTCCCCTTGTTTATAGGACAACTTACTGAGAAACTCGATGGATTTTGTTTATTCCACCAATTTTAAGGCATTCAACATGAAGTCTAACTATAGCTAATTTCCTGGCTGTAGATTCAGGACAGTTGCACAAATGGATGTCAAGAATGAGGAATTATTTAAGTGAGTTTTTTTTATTTTAAATGCGGTTGTTCCTCTGAAACTTCAGATGCATTAACAGTTCACAACTCAAAAACGCAACTAGATCTTAAAACTGCCATTCAGGCACTATAAAGTGGAATAAATAAATATGGACTGACAGAAGACTTACAAGTAACAATTACTACAGAACTGATAAAAACAATGAAATGTTAATTTTTGTTTTAAAAAGCACCAGCACAAAATTGCTGGTGATTGTCGTAGATGGTCTTAATAAGGTTGTAACATGCATACATCATGGTGTTAATTAAAAATGTTACCCATCTCATAGGATAAACAGATAAGTATGTAATTTACAAAACACTCTCGTTAAATGGACCTTATTTAATTTGCTAAACGCATGCAACAATTTTCATGTAAAGTCCATTGGAATACATGGCGAGGGAAACGCAAAGCTTAACACATGAGCAACATAACCAGAAAAAAAAGTGTAACAGAGTAGAATCTATAGCTACTTTCACGTTTATAATAACGATTAAAATTATTGCCTATAATTAAATTCCTGCAAAAGCGATTTGCTGCCTTATAAACCATGAGCTCTCCAATCAAACGCGTTGAAACTATTCCGGTGGACACAAAACACACGCTTTGCTTGGGGCAGAACCGAAAAGATATTGTTTTTTTAAATAAATGTTCATTTGACGCGCTGTGATTCAACTACAGAAGAAATATTAATCGATGTAAAAGGAGTCTTTAATCGAGATCCGAATTCGCGTCTCTCAGTGGCGGCAGTGGGGATCGCTCAGTAGCACGAGGGTGCCACTGCCTCACCATGAAACCTTTTCCCTCTGTTGCTGCCTTGTCGCTGTGTTCCTCTATAAAGCGGTCTTACGAGGTCGTAAACCCCTACTTAACGACCCAAGAAAGGTTTAGAGAGAAACAGAGAGAGATAGAAGAGAGGGAGGAGAATGGGGGAGGGGGTGAAATTCGAACTTGCGAATACAGCCAAATGCATGAAAAGGACAAGCGTGAACAGGGACGGCTAGAAAAGCAGGGTTAGAGTTTGATTCCCCTCGTCGTCGTCCCCATAATGATAGGTCTCATCTTTGGGTCGCTTTTCTGCCGATTATGACTGGCAGATGACAGTAAAGTCTATCTAGTTTCACGGATGTATCTTCCCGTGTATCCAATTGTAAGCATTGAGAGAAAGCAAGCGTTGAACAGAGGACACCTTGCACACTTCACATGGTGTTGCACTGATCAATAATCCTTTAATAAACTCACTACTTTTCTAGAAATTTTCAGAGGCGAATGAATCCTCATAGGAATTAAAGGCAAGATTTCGCTTTTACTTTCCAAGACTTGTGTCGGTAAATCAACACCAGGGTTGTGTTTTAAGAGGCTGCACGTTGCAACATAGGCGCCCCCTCAATTGTTCCCCGTACAAAACCTGCAACAGGCTGAGCCCAGCATTTCCGGGTTCCACCTCTGACCTTGACAAGCAGATCGCTAGTTTGATATTTGCACCGGCGGAGAACGACCAAGTGGCCAAAGGCGCGCGTTTTCCCTTCAACTTTGTTCATTTCTCGGACATGCCGTTTCAAACGACCCATCGCATACAGTCGGCGCGCAGGGAAGAGGCAGTTTTGGACAAGAGTATCCTGCCATTCATTGGTGAAACGTTCCCAATGCTACGCTTTCAGTGTCACCACTCGAGACTGGCGAAAGCCCTGATCGTAATAGGAATGAGTGCAGCGATTTAAAAAAAGCCACAAATATTTGCGGCTCATGCTGGACTCAATCCAGCTCCTCAATGCGGGTGTAACGGCAGCTATTTTGCAGGGGAACTTTATTTTTTTGCTCTCTCTACAAACAACCGTGACTCCTCCACACACGCCACCCCACCCACAAAACAAAATTATGAATGAAACAGGCGGAATTATGCAAACTTACTTGGTGTACGAAAACATCTACTGGTGTTTCCAAGGGGGTGCCATCTCGGGAAGTCATAGAGATAAATCCGAAGCCCATTCTAACGTTGAACCATTTACAGTGGCCTGCTCCCTGCCGAATTGGAGATTCTTCCTTCTCAGTACGTTTTCCTTTCTCGTCTCCACCACCTTTACCCGCCCCTCCTGGACAATTGCAACACACACACACGGGAGAGAGGGGGAAAATAAGATTTCAATATATTTTATGTAAAAAAGGGGGAATCATGAACAAAGTACATTTTTAAAAAAATAAATACGCTTCTGGAGGGTGATAGGGAAAAGCACTTCGCATCGCTTTGGCCATGATATCGATTGTAACCCATGCTCTTTTACTCCATGTTTGAGGCAGCAAATTAAGATGAGCAAACCGTACGTAACTGGAATGCGCCTGGTTTAAAACGGATCCCATCTCCCGAACTAACACACAAGCCCAGCTTCTCTTCCTCCCCTCTTCTCACGAATTGTGATCAACATTCAACAGCGTCGATCGCGACAGAGAGGGAAAAAAAAGGTGGAAAAAAATGGTCCACTCAAGTAAGCTTCATGTAATACTGTAGAGAACTAAGGTCGCATCCAGCGTGCTATAACTGTACTCCAATCAAACTTAAGGGGCAGGTGTAGTGTTGCCTTCCACACACGAACGGGGTTGGGGGGGGAGGTGAAGAGAGAAAAAAAACTGTGCTAAATCGGACACAAACAGTCCACACAATAGCCCTCAGCAAGCTTTTGAAGTGGTGAATAAATGGGGGCGGGTACATACATTTTGGGAGATCTACAATAGCTTCGCAAAAGCCCAGTCTGCGATCTCTATAAACAGTATGCAAATAGAAAGGGCCTTTTCGAAAAAAAATTAATATATATTTTTTATGTAGAAAAAAGAGAGGGAAAAGAAAGTAACCTTCGGCCATGTTGTCACACAGGCCCCTGTGTCCAAAACCGCCCGATGAGAACTTTTTCCTCGGAGTGGGTAATCTTCTGCATCAATCTAGCGTCATAGGATTCAGGGATGAAAAATGTAGCGATCGCCAATGCCCGCATGGTCTAACATTCACCCCCCACGCCCCCCCCCCCCAACCCCGGTCCCTTCCCTTCCTGGCCTAGCACACACGTGACTCGTCAATTACATGCCTTCTTGCTGCTAATTACACATCGCAGGCTCTCCACAGGCGGAGCAGCAACCTCTGCTCGAAACTGGCACCGCAGGCAGCGAGCATTATGATGGCACACCAACACCATCCAATCCCCATCCCACCCTCCAACCGCCCCCCCCGAAAAAACACCAAACCCTCCGGATTCTTCGATCTGGCTAATTGTCCGACATGTTTGATGGGTCGGTCAGCTCCGTAGCGTTAAAGCTACAGGGTCTCCCCCCACCCCTCTCTCTCTCTCTACCCCCACGTTCAAGGAAACGTCAACGCACGCAACCTATACAAAACTGATCGGCTCTCGTGATAAACACACCATATCTGGTAATGCCGGGTCACAATCCCTTCAAGGGATAGCGACAGCAAGCACTCGCCGCCAATAACCCTTGCATTGCTGGTTAGAACCCGACCCACGTTCTTCACCACTCACGGTCCAGTTCCTGATCATCGGCGAAGGAAATGCATAGGTTAACCACCGGGAGGGAAGGTTTAAACATTGTACAAAAACAAAAGGCGGCCCTTCACTGCCGTCTACCTAGTTTTACTAAATCATGTTCAGATGGAGACATTGGCATTAAAAAAACATAAATCAATATGTTTCACCAAGTGAATAGTTTGACTGCCCCTTCCCCCCTCCCCAGCAAAGGTGATATCGTTTGAATTTGATATGTCATTTTCAAATGGTCTCCGTTTGAACTATAAAACGGTTCATCAAACACGCGAGCCGGACATGATGCCTTCATTTCAGAAGCAGGATGCCACGAACCGAGGAGGCAACAAGAGAAAACAGCGCCTTTTTCAAGCATTTTAACCCCGTTGCCTTTAGGGCGCATGTACCTGGGAACGGCAAAGTTTGAAAACAAAAATACATAATCGACACCAAAGATGATTACTGTTCTGCCACATGCGATTTTCCCTCACTTTTTTTTTGTTTGAAAGGAAATTCCCCTCCGAAAAGGGTTCAAAGGTCAAGCATTTGCTTCACTGCCTCTGTTGTGATTCTGAAATACCTTTACATTGGGAGCTTGCTGGAGACGTGCAAAGCGCACTTGGGAAAAAAAGGGCGAAGGCTTGCTGATAAAACGTGGGATTTTTGGTATCAGAGCGCGCTGCCCATGCATTGTCTATTACCATGCGTTTTTGCTCCAAAAAAACTGGCCTGACGTGTCGGCGCCAACTTGTCTGACCAATTGTAAGGGGCAGTTTGCACTTAAATGTCTTGTTTGCCGCTGTAACATCAACGTCCTTTAAAAAAGTCACTGTTTGTTTTCGCACAAGATACACTTCTGTTCCCCCCAGACTGTGTTGGTCAAGCGTTAGCTGGTGCTGTGGATTTTTTACATATGCATAAATGGGTTTGAGGAGAGAGAGAGAATAACTAACGCACTAAAGTAGAAGCTCTCAATCCTGAAATTCCTTTGAAGTCTTCAACCATAAATTTCCTATAGGTTATTTTAACAGAGCGTGAGCTGAGGCCCAATTCTTAACCGGCCTAAGAGGGTTGCGTTTGTTGGCTTCTCCGAGGCCGAGCTGCTCTGTACCAGAGAAAAACATCGAATCTCAACAACACTTGCTCCGATCGTTTCTACGTGTTTTACAAATAATCGTTTATTTCACTGATACTAGTGTCGTTCGAAATCACAGGCATCCCACAGAAGCCTAAACTCCCATTGTTAGCTGACTTCTTCAGAATTCTGAGTGCACTCATTTTGAATCAAGAAATGAACAGCAAAGGGAAGGCATCTGTTGATTTGCGGGTGTCCGGTAAATTATGAATGGGTGGGGAGAGTGCTGTCGTCTGTTTTATTCATTTAATTCCTTTACTAACAACGTGAACTGCTTCGAATTGTGACGCGCAAGCTCAGGACTCTTCCAAATTCCTGAAATATCTCCGTGAACAGAACCAGCGTCCAGTCTTTTCACTTCTCCCGCCCCCAACCCCATTTAAAAAAAAGTTTGAAAAATTTTTTTTCGTTTGCTTTCCAAAACGTATGCATGAGGCCTCAATACCCAAATATGGATCAAGAAAGTCAAATGACCATAAACACCTCTGAGCATTCCCAGTTTGTCTTTTCATATTTGATGCTCCCTGAATCCGGTTCACAGAAGTGGCTGTTGCAGGCGATTAGGAGAATTAAGATCGGGGCAGCTGGCGTGGTCACTGGTGTCAGATGTTATCGAGTCATTCATTTCCCGTGAGAGGACCTTTCAAGTTATGTAAAGATATAACTGATCAGCTCGCATTCCAACCACAGCTCGCTCAGAAAGAATCAGCTAAGTTGTTTTTTTAAACTAAGAAAGCGATTTTCTTTTGTTTTTTTTTAAAAAGACTTAATAAAATAGAAAAAAAATAAACCGGACTGAATTTAATTCTGGTTGCCAGTAAACGTTGGTGTTTAGTCCAAATAGATTTTCTGTGTGTCCGCATTACCCAATTCTCAAGCACTGGTGCCTTTCTGTTGGAGGGTAAATTCGATTCACGCCAAGCCATTCACAACCTTGCAGTGCAAGTTCCCGCAGTGTATTTTTTTCAAAGGGACTGTGAGAGTGGGCTTCATTTAGGGGTTCGACGCAACTTTGTCCTCTCTCCCTGTCGCACTTAATATTGTGGCGAACTTAAAACTCCGAAATCCAATTCAGCAGATTCGATTTGGGGTTTGTCACGCGAAGGAAAGCTACTCAACCCCTCTTCGGCTTTGCATGTCTATTTCCTATTCAACAACGTGGGTTTGCCAGCACCGATGTATAAAGTAACAAGTTCCATTTAGAAAACATAGTTACTTTTCCCAGGTTGCCCTCAGTCCGTTTTACTGCCAATTGAAGTGTGTTTACTCAGGAGGCACAGGCCCGCACATACAAACAGCATGGAGATAATGACCGGATCATCTGTCTCACTGCTATTGGTCCAGGAAAGAACATTGAGACACGTAAAGCGGGGAAGCAACCTGCTCTTGCCCGAAGTATCGCCACCCGAGAGGGGAGATAGCGCCTCGAATTCTTCTCTGGCGGAGAGGAAGGCTTTTCCGCCAGTGTAGCACTCCCTCAGCACTGCACTGCGGGACTCGGGCCAGCCGAGGGAGGCTGGGATGAAGCAAACCCAATGATTCACCGGTGAGTGAACCAAGCCAGACCCCCACCCAAATGTGTGGAATTTGTGTACAATTTGTTAAAGTGCTAACATCGGAAACTTTTAATGCCCCTACTTTACCGTGGCGCTTAAATCATCGATCTTTTCCGAAATCGGTAAGAATAATCGTTCCATTTTTGTCAGTAGAATGGCTGCCAATATCCAATCTCTACTCTGCCTTGCACGCATTTCGTGAGGATTGCTACATTTCGGCTTATGTGAGTGTTTCAAAGAAACATATATAAAAAGCATAGGTAAATTTTGGTTTCTGATTTCCATAAAAGAGCTTTGTTGATCGAAATACACGCGTGTGGGGGATTGTTTCAATAGGTCCATTGCTACGCTGTAAGAAAAGTTCATTCCGAAATTAACTCAAACACGAATGAATGAAAATGAAATCGCAAACGCGGCGCTGCTTCAGCGGTGGAAAGGAACAAGTGATTCGGAGATTTCAATCGTGCTGAAGACCAGCTCAGTGCTTGACATGGAAGCAAGATGTTGTTTTCTTCCATACCACCACCCCCTCTGAAAATTATCAGAACTGTGACGGACAGTGAGTTCCCTTCAGCCTGACCCTCCCCTTATTCCACATGTGTGTCTGAAACGGAGAGAGAGAATCAGCTGTTCCAGCAACTCCCCCTGCTCCTTTGAAATGCTCGCTGTAAACTTCCTGCTGCGCCGAGGGGACATTACCTGGGAAGGGCGGGACCCGGGCGTTAGGAAATGAAAATAGACAAACAGGAGGCTGGAAGAACACAACAAGCCACGCAGCATCTGGGGGAAAGGAGCAGTCAACGTTTCAGGTATTACCCTTCTTCAGGACTTGGATGAACTTCCGCGGACCGCCCCCTTCACCCCACATCCTACTCTGT